ATATATATATATATATATATATATATATTTGGAGGTATGTGTTATTTTTATTGTGATCTTTTCGCTCGCGGGGAAGGCGTGATATATTAAATGTGACTCCTTTTATCCTTTATACAAACATTTATTTTATGTGTTCTTTATACATGTGTGTGTGTGTGTGTGAGTCTTTTAAGCGTTCGACGGGCCTCGGAATTTAATTTGATTTTCCGTGGGCTCTTCTCCCTTTTCCAGGTCCTCCTTCGCCTGGGACTCCGGGCGGAAATGTCCCGGTTCTCCTCGTCGGAGTGGTGATCGTCTTCGAGAGCAAACCTTGGAGATAGTGGTCGTCCCACTCGTGAATCTCCATAAGCCAAGGTCGTGATAGGTGGCCGTGTCAATGGCCGCCGCGGGATGTAGATCGTCTGCAGCTTCCACGGGGTGATAGTCCCCGTCGTGGAGGCGTCCGCGTTGCCCTCGGCGTGGTTGCTTGCGTTAGACGCTTTGTCAGCGTCTGGAAATACCGTTGCCGCTTCTTCAGCGGATGCGGCGGTCGCGACGCTTCTTCAGCGTCCGGAGACTCGTTGCTGCTTCTGCAGCAGATGCTAGGACGCTTCTTCAGCGTCCGGAGACTCGTTGCCGCTTCTGCAGCGGACGTGGCGGTTGTGACGCTTCTTCAGCGTCCTGAGACTCGGTGCCCGCTTCTTCAGCGTCCGGAGACTCGTTGCCGCTTCTGCAGCGGACGTGGCGGTCGCGACGTTTCTTCAGCGTCCTGAGACTCGGTGCCCGCTTCTGCAGCGGATGCTGGGACGCTTCTTCAGCGTCCGGAGTCTCGATACCGCTTCTACAGCGGACGTGGCTTATAGCCGATGACTTTCTAGCTGCGGCAAAATGCTAGAGATAGCCAAACGGCGGAGTGTATTGACCCCCCGCGGGTTCCGGCCTTTTATTGTTTGTTAATCACGATTTTCTCGCGAGAAAATTCCTCCATGTGCGCGCCGCCAAACGGCGCCGCGCTGCCTATGTAGCAGCTGCGGCGGTCGTACGTCGTTTCTCGGGTGGATCTA